GCGTAATATCTCCAGTATCCAACAAGAGGTCCCGCCATTGTTGTCGATCTATAGTGGGTGGAAGACGACCAAGAAGGCCTTGCTCAATCTAAAACAGAGTTGGAACTTTTGTCTAAAACATAAAAATTACTGCTCTATTTCACACTTATACATTTACGTAAACTTCTATGTTAGGTAGAAACACACCTTTTCCTCCAAGTCAAGCAACAGCTCTCGAATTTCGATGTCCCACTCCACACCACTTTGCATCAAAGCCGGATCAGCTTGATCTACCATAAAAAGCGATGTGAACTGCCCATTTGCCAATTTTGCCTCCTTCAAATTTTGGCATCAGTATCTTCAAGTCAATCCTTACTTCGAAACGCTCACCACCTTCTCCATGACCTCAGCTATCCGAGGATGATGGAAAGTAATTTCTTCGGCAAGGTCAATTTCGCGATAACCACGAGGATTGCACGCAGCAACGATCTAAGGACAAGTTGATATTTTTGGGTATTTTACGACAGATGCTCACCTGGTCAACTTTTTCCATAGAGTCCACAAATGTCCACCTTGGCCTTCGTTTTTGGGGTTCACCATGGACGGAACAGGTGTTCATGTTGCCGGAGCAACCCAAAACAAACTGCCGTGTAGCTTCTTCACTACCGTACTCGCTCTAAAAACCACCTTGAGAACTCAGATAGGGAGTCTTGACAATACAGTAAAGTTTAGAAAAAAGATAAGAAATACACTGAAATACAGAAAAACAGAAGAAGCAGAGCAAGTCCACAGAAAATATAGAAAAAAGTATAGAAAAAGCAGAGCGAACCCACACAATCTGCCACGGGTGTTGGCTCGAAACATACTCCAACATGATCGGCTTCGATGGGATTTTCAACCAGTAAACAAGGCACACATTCAAGCAAGAAATAATTCCGGAAGGCTCGGTCTCTTCCCAGATGCAATTGTCCGGCCATTGCTGAATTAACCATTATCCAACCGAAATGGCATCTTCGTAGGATTGCACTCACTCGTCAAGTCATATATTGTTTCTAACAACTTCTTCTCTACGTCTTGAACTTTGTCCCTTTGCAAGTCGCGAGCAAGAATGATGTCGGGAAGTTCCAGCTCACTGAATGCTACGCCAGAAAGAAGCATCTAGAATAGAGTCTCTTCAGACTATACATAGTTCGACGATAAAAGAAATATCCTACTTGTTCAACCTCATCGCGGTCTACCCGCCTTGA